TGTAACATTACAGTAATGTAGAGCTGGGGGAATATGTCATCTGTAACGTTACAGTAATGTAGAGCTTGGGGAATATGTCATCTGTAACATTACAGTAATGTAGAGCTTGGGGAATATGTCATCTGTAACATTACAGTAATGTAGAGCTTGGGGAATATGTCATCTGTAATGTTACAGTAATGCAAACTCTTTCTTCCCATTTTCTTCTAATGAAGTAAGAACTGTTGAGTACGTAATCCCAAAGTAATATGGAGTTCCTCACATTGGGTCAATATATATCACTAGTATGAGACCAAGTGTGGGAACTAGGATTATAGTGTAACCTCGTAGTGTAGTACATGCCACCCCTCTACACTATGAAACAGGCATAGTGTAACCTCGTAGTGTAGTACATGCCACCCCTCTACACTATGAAACAGGCATAGTGTAACCTCGTAGTGTAGTACATGCCACCCCTCTACACTATGAAACGGGCCCTTTTCAGAGGTTGGGCCAGCTGAATGTGTCTTGTACTCTCCTTGCAATGCAATGTATAGGATAGTTTCTCCCTGCACCTGAATATTCTGGGAAATATCTCACACGACGATATGAACGGCCTGATTTGTTACCCTATCCACACTACACCCTCACTAGCTGCCTGTGAGATAATAACCAGTTGAACATTCTTACATTTTGTCCACCTATGTGACAATTCAACTCCACATAAAAGATCTATAGACAATATGTTTTGCTCTATCTTTGCTATTGGGTGCAGAGTATTCCCTGCTTGAGATGGATGCAGTCTGCCACCTATTGGTGCCACATTTTCGTAATTACTTTATCGACACTGCTATCATCAATGTTTGGAATACTAGTTATGCTGTACACAAGTTAGTAAGCTTCCCTGAAGTTAACATTTTCTTTACATTAACACATTCGCTGCCATGTGCCCCACCTGTGGGTCACAACTGGCTTGTAGTTACGGACTGCGTGACACACTGTTGGGTCACAGACAATTATGTTTCAAAGCCAAATTTCTCTCGTGGTATATGAGTTTTGGACACTGTGACTGCTCCTTGTAGCCTCTTGAATGCATAAGGTTTTTATACTTCATTTGTTATGTGGCAGTAAACATGTTAAAATGTATTTTCAGATAGTTCCACGTGTTAAAATGTATTTTCAGATAGTTCCACGTGTTGTATTTCAGATAGTTCCACGTGTTAAAATGTATTTCAGATAGTTCCACGTGTTAAAATTATTTCAGATAGTTCCACATGTTAAAATGTATTTCAGATAGTTGCTCGTGTTGTATTTCAGGTGGAACTATCTGAAAATACATTTAAACACGTGGAACTATCTGAAATACAACACGTGGAACTATCTGAAATACAACATGTGGAACTATTGTGCAACTATCTGAAATACAACACGTGGAAGTATCTGAAATACATTTTAACACATGGAACTATCTGCAAATACATTTAAACACGTGGAACTATCTGAAATACAACACGTGGAACTATCTGAAATACAACACGTGGAACTATCTGAAAATACATTTAAACACGTGGAACTATCTGAAATACATTTTAACACTGTTTAAATGTATTTCAGATAGTTGCTCACCTCTCAACACATCCTTCCACCTTTTTTTGGTGGATTTATTTTGCCTCATCAGTAATGAGCCTTTGTTCAAATACTGCTGATTATGATGATTACTGAATGTGGAGGATGTGTCACCCTCCTGTTGCCGTAGTCTAATTATGTTTACATCATAGGCTGGCACAATACATGCTAGTATGAGTAGGGATACGTTTCATTCAAGGGATGTGATTTGTCCAAAAAATCGTCATGCATGAGGTAAGAGTTCTTTGTTGTGCAGAGATGCGAATAAATCTGAAATACATTTTCAGGAAAAAGAAAATCTTAACTTTATCTTATATCTTATTATGGTAATTAACTGCTGTTTTGTGGATTTTACTCTGTAGTTCTATCACTCTGATAATGTTGTATTAATCTCCTCTTTTACTGTGTTAACTAACAGCTGTTTTTTATATTATGCTAATCAGAATACATACAGCTAAAAATATGTCCTTTAAAAATATTGTGAACTTCATATTTCTAACTGAATTTGTAAATTGTTTCTTCCCCAGTCTGTTTACCAGGAGCTATATGTTGGCAGCAACATCCATTTATTATTCAAGTTTTGCAAAACCATAAAAGTGATGTTTCATCTCAAATAGATAGCCTAGAACCAGCTACGTTGCAGACTGACATATTGTTGGATAAATCAAACAGTCACATTTGTAAAAACCTAAAGATAGATGAAGCTTGCTTGACCATCCAATCAACAATTAGTAGTACACTAAATATTTGGACCCAGAGCTCGGAATGTGAAGGAGTAAGTACACTGACTTCCTACTGTATAGCAGGTATAATGAAGAAAGTGACATGTCTGTATTGAGCTTTCACACAAATGTCAGTTGATTACTTAGTAGAAACCCAAGCTGTAGGTCCTTAATATTTCATCTAAAATTATAATAATTTTTTTTACCAAAAGTTTAAGTTGGGAAACTTAAGCTAGAATTAGGCTAGCTGAAACTCTGTAATTGTGCATTTATTTCTCCATAAATTTACAAAAATGACTGATTTCAAGTGTAACTATTTTTTATTTCTAACTTTCCTAGTTAGAGTGTGACATGCAAGATAAGAACAAACAAGTTAAAATTATATATTTCAAGTGTAACTAGCTTTTATTTCTAACTTTCCTAGTTAGAGTGTGACATGCAACATAAGAACAACCAAGTTAAAGTTATACATTTCAAGTGTAACTAGCTATTATTTCTAACTTTCCTAGTTAGAGTGTGACATGCAACATAAGAACAACCAAGTTAAAGTTATACAGAATTCAAAATATTGATTGTATTTACATAAAATTGTCATTTTCGTTTTTTTTTGTTTCAGGTTATTTAAAGTGATTTTTGTTTTTGAAAATTTGAATATAAATGTTTAATTTTGTTGAACAAGTTTAAAATATGCCTTCAAAACTAAAATATATATTTGTAAATGTTTAACATAACGTGCATGTTTAAATATTAAGTGTTTTCTTACTTATCTATATTCCAACAAAATACAGGCTGACTGTCTTCGTGACTTGGGTGAATTAAATAATTTAGTTCTTCCTTAAAAATCATGGTACTACAGGAAATATTGACAACAACATATCTGTTACAAGTTGGAAGGAAGGAAAGTGTTATTTGGTCAGAACAGATGCACGTCAGTATAACGTGTTAACGAACTGTTAACAACATACATCTGTTACAAGTTGGAAGGAAGGAAAGTGTTATTTGGTCAGAACAGATGCACGTCAGTATAACGTGTTACAGTATATCTGTTACAAGTTGGAAGGAAGGAAAGTGTTATTTGGTCAGAACAGATGCACGTCAGTGTAACGTGTTAACGAACTGTTAACAACATACATCTGTTGTGATAGTCAGGATGTAAATTATTATTTGGTCAGAACAGATGCACGTCAGTATAACGTGTTAACGAACTGTTAACAACATACATCCGTTGTGATAGTCAGGATGTAAATTATTATTTGGTCAGAACAGATGCACATCAGGGTAACGTGTTAACAAACTGTTAACAACATACATTAGTTGCGATAGTCAGGATGTAAATTATTATTTGGTCAGAACAGATGCACATCAGTGTAACATGGTAACGAACTGTTAACAACATACATTAGTTGCGATAGTCAGGATGTAAATTATTATTTGGTCAGAACAGATGCACATCAGGGTAACGTGTTAACAAACTGTTAACAACATACATCTGTTGTGATAGTCAGGATGTAAATTATTATTTGGTCAGAACAGATGCACATTAATATAACATATCAGTGAGTTAGAAACCATAGAAAACAACACACAGTCAGGATGGAAAGTGTTATTTGGTTAGAGAAGATTCTAATCAAACTTAAGTATCACAATGTTAAAAAAAGTGCCTTGAATGAAGCTTAAACTCAGTACCCTAATGATCTCATGTCAATGCTTTAAGTCTGTCAAATAACCTACATCATGAGGTACATTAAACCTCTGTACAAGTTGAATTTTTAGTAAGTAGGCTTAAGATCAACTGTTACATATGTGTCACATTTCCCTGAAACTCATTTGTGTTACTTATTGTGTTAAAATTATAACTGTATGACTTGTTTGTATTAGGTTGTTATGTTGGGTAATTCTCTCCGAGCCATCTATTTCTTAGTATAATCTTTTTAATTCACCACTTGAGTCTGTTGAAAACATTTTGAGTACGAAGTAATATCATGTAAGTTTTAATATTTTTTTTGAAAGGGTATTTTATTATCATTATTTAACATTTAGATATTATCTCTCAGACTGTCATTGTAGTTACTTAGTACTGTTTTATTCTTACGAATAGTTATCTTTGTTTTTGTTATTTAGGATTTCAAATTTGTGAAAGTTTGTCGGTCTTTTCATTCTTTCAGTGCCCTGTTTTATTCCAAAGAAACATTACTTCTGCAGAAAATGTGACTTTGAAAGTTAATACCTCCACAGAAACTAACGTAACACTTACTAGAAGGACTGCTGAAGATGTATTTTGCAGGTATGTAAATATATTACTTTAGCTAACATAGTAGCAGTATTTGTGTAGTCAGTCAGGATTATCTCTTTTGTTGATGCTAGGAATACTTACGTACAGGTAAGACTAGGAATATTTATACTGTTTTTCATCTTTCTGTTTTGAATACTTATGTATTATCTTAGGTATATGTATTTCAAGTAGGTTAATCCTAAAATTTCCAACTTGTTTTTAAAGTGTTTGGGTCCGTATATTGTTAGGTTTATCGTAACATGAAATAGTACAAAGGTTTACTGCAGTAGTCTCTCTGTGCTGAATTAGCACAGAGAGACTACTGCAGTAAAACAATGTTTCTTATTAGCACTCAGAGACTACTGCAGTAAAACAATGTTTCTTATTAGCACTCAGAGACTACTGCAGTAAACCTTTGTTTTTTATTGAAGGTCAAACACACATAAAATCCTATCTAATTTTAATTATCTAAAAACGTTTAAGTACAACAAACATAATAAAAATGGACAACGTTTTGAAAAAACCCCAAGACATGCTTGTCTCAAGGGCTTACAGATGTTTCTTAATTGAAACAGACTCCTTACAAACTCTGGTTACATAAGAATATATGTAAATAGTTTATATATTTCATAGAATCTTCCAGGACTTGAGTAGATATTCTCCATGTTGTGGAATTTTTGTCTAACTGGTTAGAGGTGGTTATAATTTCATTCCTCTTTCTTACAGTGATTCAAAATTTATTTCATGATAGCAACAGTAATGTTGAAATCTAGATGGACAGTTAAACCTTTTGGGAATGAAGCATTTCAATAACAATACTTAAAACAGCTCTAGGTAATAACACTTCAAGTTAAAGCATGAGAAGATGATAAAACTCAGCTTCAATAAAAATATGGGAAATCAACTTACGAATATAGATGTTGACAGGTTGTTTGGTAATTATAATTGAACACCTTTTATTTTTGGGTTTGTCTTCGCCAACTTCCATTAAATAGTTTCCAAACTCTTCAAAGTTGTAAAACTGGCTAAGAAAATATAAACATTATTACATAGCAGTTTTGACAGTTAAAAAACTTAATTTAGACTTTTCAAAACAAAACACTTCTTCTAAAAACTTATGTTTCTTATTGTTTTTTATCAGCACTGAAAAACTACAGCAATAAAACTATGTTTCTTATGGTTACATTGAGATTATATTTTAAAAGAATATTGAGAAAAGTAGAGTATATAAATTTGTTAAAACAAGTTATTACTTTCACTGAAGGCTTTAAAAACTTGTATACTCACGTAGGGGAAGTAATAATAATAAATAACCTGTGTACATACATAAGGGAAGTAATAATAGATAACCTGTGTACATACATAGGGGAAGTAATAATAATAAATAACCTGTGTACATACATAGGGGAAGTAATAACAGATAACTTGTATACTCACGTAGGGGAAGTAATAATAATAATAATAGATAACCTGTGTACATACATAGGGGAAGTAATAATAATGATAAATAACCTGTGTACATACATAGGGGAAGTAATAACAGATAACTTGTATACTCACGTAGGGGAAGTAATAATAATAATAATAGATAACCTGTGTACATACATAGGGGAAGTAATAATAATAAATAACCTGTGTACATACATAGGGGAAGTAATAATAATGATAAATAACCTGTGTACATACATAGGGGAAGTAATAATAATAAATAACCTGTGTACATACATAGGGGAAGTAATAATAATAAATAACCTGTATACATACATTGGGGAAGTAATAATAAATAACCTGTGTACTCATGTAGGGGAAGTAATAATAGATAATCCATGTATGCACATAGGAGAAGTGATAAAAATAACCTGTATACACACATAGGGGAAGTAATAATAAATAACCTGTGTACACACATAGGGGAAGTAATAATAATAAATAACGTGTACATACATAGGGGAAGTAATAATAATAAATAACCTGTATACACACATAGGGGAAGTAATAATAAATATCCCATGTACACACATAGGGAAAGTAATAATAAATAACCTGTGTACA